GATTCAATTTGTTTTCTTTTTCATACAGTATTTAAAAATGAAAAAGAAAAATAATACTTAAATATCAAAACATATCCTTTTGGTAGAAAAGAAAGAGAGAGAGAGAGTATATCTCAATCCTAATTCAGTACTTCTAGTAACTTTCTATTGTTGGATGAACCAATAAACACATCTTATTTATAAAAGGACTAGCCAGAGCTACATGGAGATCATTAGTTTATAAATTAGGTTTGTTGACCTACTCGTATCTACAGGAATCATGTGTGAAAGTGCAACGTCTATAGGAAAGGCAGATAAGAAAGCAGCAGTTCATTTTATGTTAATCATGGGACACTTGAAATAAAGTGACTATGGTCCAGAGTGAACAGTATGTTTAATGAAAGATAGATTAAGTCATCAGGCATTGGGTACGCTTAAGCATAGATTGCATCTACATTGCTCTAAAACATCTCCACAGCTGTCTTTCAAGGGAGTGTTCTTATCTCTGATTCTTAAATCCTTGTGAACTCAACCTTACCTGCTCCGCTTGATCAAAACAGACCTCTGGCCCCTTCCTGTATCTAGGCTGCTTAACCATTTCACAGGGATTTGGCCCTTCATCTGATACTCTGATTAAGGAATACAACATATTAGCAGTACCAGCATTTGTTTTTATGTTTTTATAATTATAAGCATGCTACATGAAGCAAAACACTTACGGACTTCTCTGAAAGATGTACATTAGCAGCTACTGGCCGCTCTGATTGATGTAGGTTGTATTGCAATTCCCACCCATTGTGACTGTACCCTGTTCAACAAAACAGCATTAATAGAGACCAAATGTGCTTTGTTTTTGATGACTTACAGGATAACCTTCTGCTGCTTCTAATTAAGATAATAAAGTAGACACTGCAAGACTTGGAATAAAAGTCTAACATTGCTTCTGTAAGATTTTTTCCCTTTACAAAACGCAAAGTGAGGGAAGGAGGTGGGGAGACAGAACCAGTTTATTTTGTAGCATTTTTATTATATTAATTTTATTAGGTTAGTTTTAGACAAAATGGGAGTTTTGCAAAAAGGTTACAAGATCTAGGCCTATTATAGTATTCATTATTTGAATTACATTAAAAAATGATCTTAAACTGAGATTAGGGCTTTTTTGCAAAAGGCACTGTAGAGGTTGGTATGAACAGAAATAAAGTTTAATTACCTCTTATTAGGGTTTCAAGTTTTTGAGCAGGAGGTGAAAAAAAGCTGAAATGACTCACCCAAGATCAACAGCAGAAATTAAAACAGTACTTAAATCACTGAACTCACTGCCGAGGAACAGGATTTTATTGTCCAACACTTCATGTCTATAATCACATTACCATGAGAAATTTGTTGAGCTTTTTATAAATTTCAGCTGTCACTATTTGAAACTGTCAAATCTGGTCTAGAGTATTTCAAAAGCTTAAAACACTTCAAAACAAATCTCATAGATATAATCTGTGTTGATTTATGTTCAGGGCAATACCCTGGCCAACTTTCACTGCAGCCTGTGTGAAGTCAGTGAAGTTGTCCCAGTACAGACGAGACAGTAACGTGGAATTTCATTTTATAACAACTGGCAGCCTTGTTCACACCTTATTAGCTGCCACTTACCTAATGATATCATGATGGGATATATGCGATGAGATTTCTATCATGAGAGAAAAGAGTCAGAGAAAGGGATCACTTCAAAAGTTATCTCACTTTAGCAAATCTGTACCAGGCATCTGGAAGAAACGTCTAATAACAAATACCTGCAGATGAATAGCATCCAAAGGTCACTCTCTTGTACGTCATCATGCTACATCTGCATTTCACAATGCACCTCGAGACAGCAAGCTTGACTTAGTGCTGCTCAGGTAAAAAAAAGTCAATTCATTTAGTTAAAAATAAGCCCACCTAGATGCTCAAGCTGCCAGCCTTTTCATCCAACCCTGGGAATATAAGTGCTCCACAGGGAAGTACCAGAAACATGCTTCCATAGATGTAGCTTACTTCTCAACCAAAGCGCAGATAGAATTATACTTTTATAATGAATGTGACAGTTAGTGCCTTTCCTAGGGACTACTGGGACCACCACGAGAAGGAGCTTTATCATCTGGAGCAGAAGAAAATTTGCAAATCTCTCCTCATAGATCTCTTTGCATGTACATACTTATTTTTGTCAACAGTCTTTCTCTACTGTCTGTTAAAAGTCAGGCACTGTTATAGCTTTTCATGCTGTCTATATAGCCTAAAGGCTACGGAAGGTCTGAGGGAATTTCCCCTGGCACAGGAGCTGTGTGAAGTTGTTTTTACAGAACTGACCACACATAACAGAGATGAAAGACAGCTGCTGTGCTGAGCAACTGAAAGACAGCCATGGAAATTTGCTGTTATTAGCCAATGTACTGCAGGGATTCCAAAAGGCACAGGCAGGAGGGAGGATGTTCATACAGCACTACGCACTGTGCTCAGGATTCAAAGTGGTATAGCAAGTACCTAAGCTTAGGTTTTGCAGTACCTTAGTATTAGGTTTTTTGGTCAAGTTAGCTATTTAATTTGAGCAGATTTGGCATACACGACTCCTTTACAGACATTGCACCAATTCTGATTTAGGTGACTTGACCAGGTCACAAAATCCTTAGATGCAGGGGTAGCAGTGGACATAGTCTTTCTGGACTTTAGGAAAGCCTTCCACACTGTCTCTCACCCCATTCTCATTAAAAAACTAGG